ATTAGCTGACAACAGTAAGCTGATATTGACAAAAGACATTTGATAAACATTTGAATATTTTTTTTTGGTTTTAGAAATAAAATATATCTAAATAAAAAATAGGCAGTCAGTTGACTTTTGGAGGGAAGGTTGCAGGGCTTAAAACAAAACCCTTTCATATAAAACCGTAATTCATTTTTTAAAAAGCAACTAAATGTGTGTTATTAAATGTTAAGTCAGAAGAACTTACTTAAGAACAGAGAAGAAAATAAAGACAGGAACCAGCATTTCTCCTAAGGAAAAAAGAAGCTCCTGGATATACATCGTAATTTGCTAAATCATTTTAGATTTCTGATAAGCTCAAAGAACTTTCAACTGACAGCAAAACCATAATGCTTGTGCCAAGACAAATATTTTCCAGACACATCATTTTAAATGTAAATCTTAATTTGGCCGATGGTTTTTATCTTTTATATTTAATCTTACAATAGGAAAATTAATTCAAGAGAAATATGGCATGAAGCAATTGTAAAGAGTTAGTTTTTCCTGAACCATATAATCTTCAATCAAGATATAAACAACCTATTTGGAATTCTGAAACTCGAGAATGAGCTAAAAGAGATCTTCAGCAAATGTCTCTAATAATGCCAAAGAAGTGTGGGCATGAGATTCTGAGGCTCTGAATGTGTTCTTAAAGTTTTTCTGTAAAGCAATTTAGAAATGGTGTCTGGGAAACATTTTGGAGGCGACAATTTACAATCTGCTCAATAGATTTTTTTTCCAGATGTGTCACCTAAGAATTGTACACAACTAGAAGTAAAAAAGTAGTGCTCATCTCCCTTTCTTTAAGCAATGGGACAAACCAGAGAACTTTCTTCAAGAAAAACTTACTGCATCTCTTGGATTTACCCGGCATTTAATGAAAATGTGTGAGCATTCAGGAGATGTAGCTGAGTAGCCTTGAATTTCTTTCTTTTACTGGGAAATTGGTGAAAACCAACGGATTGTGCTCCCCCACCCCAGTCCCGAATTAAAAGAAAGGTGATAGGGTACAGAATTCATCCCCGTACTAGAAATAGTTTTCTCGTGGTTTAAGAAGGGGAAAAATCCATTTTACAACAAATGAAGATTTTCTTCTAGGCTTTGAATAATAACTTGCTATGGGAAAAGCATGTAGAAGAGGAATCTTGACATATTCTTGAGAAGAAAATATGATTGGAAGACAGCCCGTGGCCTTATGGAGGGAGTTCTGTTTGTTTACCTACTTCTTTGTGCACCAAAAGCAATTTCCATAGCTACCATGGAACCACATGAAGCACAGAACAGCTTTTAAAGGAACGTGCATAAAAGTGTCATGCGACTCTTCCACAGAGATTTGAGGTTTTAAACTATGTTAGCGGAAAGTAATGCATTTTCTATCAATATACTCACTTTTCCCCCTCAACACACATTTTAAAAAAATGTTTTAAATGACAAGTTATTAAAAGCATACATTTTTCAAGTTTTCTCAATGTGCATTTTTGACATAAATGATGTTATATTTACCAATCTCAGTTTCAACCAAATGTAGGAAAATGTTAGTGCCTCATCTCCCCCATCCTCCCTGTTTAGGTCTTGAGATCATGATTCTAATATGTGGACACAAGAACTTGTGGAAGAAAGCCTGCCTCCTGGCTCTATCAGGGAAGTAAAAGCCACCACAGATAACTGGTCCCTGGCCCTCTCTGTTGCCTCACATCAGCCACTGAGCGTGTTGGGCACTGAGCTGTGTGGACTAAGGCTAATGCAGGAGCCCTTAGTTGGGTCACATTCTGGGAGATCTAAAAGGCATTCTGGTCTACAGTCTTTGAGAATTTACCTCTCTCTTGTGCTAGAACATGAGCCTGCAGGCAGTACTGTGTGTCCTCCATCCTCTAGGGATATATTTCAAGGTTGTGGCGTTAAATCCTGTCCTAAAAGTTTGCTGAGGCAGTGACTGCAAAATGTTGCTGCCTGAACATTATAAGCTGATGTTTGCATATGGCAAGGACTTTTTTTCTTCTTTAGGATCTTCCTGGGTCCCCTGCCCCTGTCCCTGCCCCTACCCTTCTCACAGACAAGTTATTCCTGGCTTCAAAATTATGCATACAAGTAAGTTATGGCCAGGGATTTTAAAAAAGTTTATTGCAAAAATATACACATAGTTCATGGAAAATGTGCATGTTTTGAATAAAATTCTGCTCTGAGCATTTCAACTGTTAGCTGTGCATAGAATATTCCCTTACAATGCCATGCCATTAACTGAGTCTCAAGTAAGGAACATCATGAAGGACTTTAATAATTAAAAATATATGTTCTTTTTTATCCATTATCACTGGCTCTCTTTCTTCTCTGAACTGGTGCAGTTGCAAAATGTGCTTTTTCTAAGGGCTTGTTTGTTTTTTAGTTAACACAACATATTTCTAGTAAGAGACTTTCTCTGTATCTGCTTTCATGAAAAAGTCACATTTTTGTACCTTTATTTTGCCTGTCCATTCTTGCTCGTCAGACTGGAGCACAAAAATGTACTCTTGATTTAAAAGGTGTGTGCTTCACACCGAACAACTTCCCCTTTAAAGACTTTTCTCTAATGCATATGACTAATTTGGGGTGAAGTAAAATACTCAGTAGATTAGTCTGTCAATTGAAGTCTATGAATTTTCCAAGTTTACATTTTAAAATCATCTACATAAACTCAAAGAAAGGTGAAGAAGAATAAAAATCCACATAGGTGGAAGAACATCCAGGAAATATTTCCATGCCTTCTTAGCTATGTTCAAGTTTTTAAAATGAGGAGGAGAAGAAATCATCTTACTATAAACAGCATAGAACCCATATTCTGGCAACACTCCATCTTCCTGGAGTTTGGAGTTCTATTGATTCTTTATTTTTGACTTTCACTTTCTCCAAATCCCCAATAAACAAAACCATGTTATATGACAAATCTTGATTCTCTTAGAATTTAACTCATTTTCAGAGAGTTAAAAAAATATATTTCGCCACATATCACAAGGAAATTTAGATCCCTGGGACCTTTCAAAATTTGGGCATTGCTGGGGCCAGCGCTGTGGTGCAGTGGGTGAAGCTGCTGCCTGTAGCTCCAGCATTCCATATAGGCATTGGTTTGAGTCCTGGCTGCTCCACTTCCAATCCAGCTCCCTGCTAATGGCCTGGGAAAAGCAGCAGAAGATGTCCTGAGTGTTTGGACCCCTGCCACCCCTGTGAGAGACCCAGAGGAAGCTCTTGCCTGGCTCCTGGCTCAGTCCTGGCTCAGTCCTGGCCATTGTGGCCATCTGGGGAGTGAACCAGTAGATGGAAGACCTCTCTGTCTCTCCCTCTCTCTGTGACTCTGCCTTTCAAATTGGTAAACTTGATAGGGAAGTTGGGCATTACAGTGTTGCTTCACCTACACTGGCCCGACTTTGCACGCACACACACACACACACACACAGCTGCTCCAAGGAAAGGGAGATAATGAGAGGAATACTGAGGAAAAAATGATGAACTGTCTTGCCCTCTGTCTCTCAGCTAACTGATGATGCATCAGTTGAAAGCGTTAGTTCAAGATTCCTTGGTTTTGGAATATGAGGATACAGGCCAGTTCCTTGTGCCCACCCCCAATGCTCCCACCTTGCTGGAATCCTTACATCCAGGATTCTCTGGTCTGAGATTACCCTTGAGTGAGACCTGCTTTGCCATTAGCACCAAGGCCCATAGTCAGGGCTTGATTTTTACTTCTGCCCTCTCTTCTTGCTCCATTGGCTTTAAACTTCCTCAAATAAATCAGGACTGTTCTGGAAACATTGTGCATTTAAATACTTCTAAAGTAGGATACTTACTGAGTAAATATTTAAATATTTAAACAGAGAATTTAAATACTTTGTAAGTAGGAGTGCTTTGTGGAGACTTCACCCAGCAGTGAGTTTTTCCCGCAAAGGTTTTTGAGCCCTGCCATGGACATGTACAAAGTAGAGAAAAATCACTTTCTCTCTTATGTGGCAGTTTTCCAGCTGCTACATCAATCACCCACTTATTTCCATCACTGGGTGTTGGACGGGTCAGTGAGCTTGAGTTTGCAAAACATTCACCACGCTGATCGGAAAGTTGTTCTGTTAACACTCTTTTTTTTTTTTTTTTTAAGTTGTTTTACTCTCCAGAGTTATTTATGAAACTGAACTTTTGAGAACATGTTTGCATTTCAGGCTTGTCTTTCTGTTTAACACTTCTCTATACAAACTGTTGTTTTAGAGAAGAAATGAAAGAATAAATAATAATGGCAGTCACTTGGAGATTGTTTAGCTTTCATTCATTTGGCATGAAATCTGTGCCAACTACTGTGTTAGGTACTGGGATACGAGTTACTCCTCTCCAAGTTCACGCAAGTCAAAAGAGGAGACAGAAATAACGATTCCACAGTGAGAAGGGCGAGAAAAGCGCGTGGGACTAACTCTTTCTAATTACTGAAGGATGGTCAAGATAAGGAGACAGGACACCATGAAAAAAGACACAGGGGTCTCAGGATCCACGGAAAAAGAGCTTGCTTTTGTATCTATTTAACTTTTTAAATATGTAAGCAAATGCCTGTTTAAAATCACATGCAAAACTCCCAGATGGAAGACATGATTAAACATTTTTTTTCTATATGTGGAGATAAAATTTCTCTCCCTCTCCATCCCTTCTTTCTGCTTCTTTGAAATTCCAGTCTGATTTTATCACTGGAGACATGGTGTAATCTCTCTCTCTCTCTTCCCCTCTCCTTCCTTCCTCTCCTTTCCCTCGCTTCTCCCTCCCCTTTTCCTTTCTCTGAAACTGCAGTCAGATGTTATCTCTGGGCATGATGTAATAGCTCTGCCGCTTTGCATCGAGGTCACAGTCTTTCGGAAAACTCTTAACGGATTTCCAGAGAAACAGTAAATGAACTGTGCAGTTATTCATTCAACTACGGGCTACTCTGTGTTCCTCCCTGAATTTTAACTTCTTCCTCATTGGCCTGTTTGTTTTAGGTAATGGGACTTCTGACCAACCACGGTGGGGTACCTCATCAACCTCAGACGGATTACGCCCTCTCCCCTCTCACTGGGGGCCTGGAACCTACCACCACGGTGTCAGCCAGCTGCAGTCAGAGACTTGACCACATGAAGAGCTTGGACAGTCTGCCAACATCTCAGTCTTATTGTCCACCCACCTATAGCACCACGGGCTACAGTATGGACCCCGTCACAGGCTACCAATACGGGCAGTATGGACAAAGTAAGCCTTGCACTTTCTAGGGGGTGACTTCTCCTGGAGGGAAAATAAATTCAACTCATGCTTCAGCAAGGGGAACTGTAGGCATGATTAAGCCTTACCTCCCAAGATCGTTCCTGTGGCAAAGCCAGCCGACTGTTCCAGCAAGGCCTCCCTTGTATAATTATTTTCTTAGCTGATGTCAACAACATCTTGCGGTTATTAATTGCTGAGACGTGAAACCTGATTGCCACGAGGTAAAACACAGGGGCTGGCCAAAATGCAATAACCCCTGGCATTGGAAACACATGTTCTTAATGAGGTCAGCTCAAGGATCATATGGAGTGTAATCCCAGGGACACAGACTTGTGTCAAACTTGTCTCGGGAATAAAAATATTAGTCTCAATCCTTTGATACTATGGTATTAAATATGACATTGTCAGCCTGTAGCTGATATTGCCCCTTACTGTGAATTGTCCCAGCTTGACCTAAAAAGCTGCATGTGTTTCCTTACAGGTGCCTTTCATTATCTCAAGCCAGATATTGCATAAGTGAACTGTCCACTTGGAGCGAAAACTGGCCCTGTTTCTGGTCTCCACAGCTTAGACATGAAGAATCTCAGAAAAAAAAAATCAACCCTTTGGGGAGAGGGCAGTCCCAACAGGAGACAAAGAAGAGTGACCGATTTTCTTTCTCCAGTAGTTGGTTTCGAGTTCTCTCAAACGTGTTGGACAAAAGCAATGGAGAAGAGGAAGAGGTGGAGCAATAAAAGACAAATGCAACATTTTATTGCAATGGCTATGTGTCAAAATATCCCAACTCTTTAGTGCTGATGATCAAGGAGCTAAACATTCCATTTGCATGCACCCACACATGTATGTGCGTGCGTGCGTGTGTGTGTGTGTGTGTGTCTGAGATTTACCTTGACTTTTAAACTGTAGAAGGACAACACCCTCTCACATGTTTGATGTCCAAGCCTGATGCTTCTACAACTTCAAAACTGCTCCCTAATGAAGCAAGAATGGAGGACTCCTTAACTTGTACACACTGGAAATTGATATAAAAATAAATGGCACCATTTTTAGGAAGCTAGATTAGATATAAAGGACCTCCTAAATAAATTATTTGTTATTATATGCTCATTTGTAATCTAGTTGTCAATAAACGTCCCAGAGAAGATATGGGATCCCAGGAAGGAAAGTTTGTCTTCTTTTCCATTGTTGGGAGAGGTGTGTGGCATTTTCCCCAACCACATTCACTTGGAAGCCAATCTGGGTGGCAGTGAGGGCCTGGTGGAGAAGAAGTGACATGAATTCACATATCTGCTTATCAGTGTGCAATACTGTGTACCTCACAGATGCTTTGGCATGGCCAAGGTGATATAAACTAAATCAGAACTATATTTTTTGCAGGTGCTTTTGTTTTTACAGCCCATAACTCATTACAGTAGAATGCAGTGATGTTTGCCATTTGCTGGACAACAAACACTTGGCACGCTCCTTTTGGCTAGAGACCGTCAGAGAAGAATACTTTTTAAATGATTACGTTTACATTCTTCTCTTTCCTATGAAAGACAGGGCAAGAACATAAATGTCCACGTGGCTCTCATGTGCTTTTAAATTATACAATGATATCCAATATTAAAAGATTATGGGAACTGAGGTTTACAGACATTTGTGTGATGACATTTTAGAATGTCAATAAATTCGTTTTTTAAAATGTTAAGAGGAACAAGAAGGTGGAAGGCAGTGTTATTTATTTCTTTCTATTCTTGGAACCATGAATGAGTTAGGCACAGATACATTCCTTGTAGCATTAAGATCTATGATGTAGTGAGTTAGTGAGACTAGACATAGTACCAAGTTTAGTTCATGCATTGGTCTTAGAGGGTGATGGAACAGAAGTGCTATCTTTGTGTTGCAGCCTCAGCCAACAACAATGTGTTGTAAAAATGTCTTTCATGTAAAAAGTGCAGTAAATATTTACTATTTATAATGAATAAACAGTTATGAAAACTTGCTAAATACTGCTTTTTTAGGGGGGGAGAGCCTGACAAATGTAATATATATAAAATCTTGGATATGGGAAGCTCAGTAAAACATAAGGTGTCACTTCTAATGATATGTTTTGGATGGGAATATACCCTGGACAAATACAGTTACACAACCAACAATTGTATTCTCTTGCAAAGCTTGATTGGAGTTTGTGTTTTTCCAGGTGTGGAATCTAGAACAAACCTTTCCATCTACCATCCACCCTCTCTTCTTTTTCTCCCATAGCTGTTAAATCTCACCTGGAAATGTGTTTTCCCCAGAGTAACAGGCTCTGTATTCCTTTCCAAGAGTCATCTTCAGTGAAACTTTTATTTAAACCCTCCATATTTATTTCGAAGATTTCACTCTTCATGAAAAATATTACTGCCTGCTTCATTCATTCTTTTTCTCCACTCTCTCACTCTCACTTCCTCCTTTTTCTCCACACTTATTTGATAAAATCTAAATGTGCTAGGCATGATGCTTAACACTGAAGTTATCCCAGTGCACATAGCCTAGTAGGTCAAGCAGAGTGAATGCATAGTGCCAACAAGTGTGAACACTGCTGTTACAGGGAAATAATCGTAAGACCCTTTGAAACTCTTTCCTGGACTTGCTCATTCCTCCCAATGTCTCATGTGAGGCAGATGATGTCACTAGCATTCTTTTATGGATGATAAAACTGAGGCACAAGGAGCTTATCTGGGATCAAGCTTGTAGCAGAGCTGGGATGAACTGAGGCAGTCAGGTTTCATTGCCTTGGTGCTTAAACTCGGATTCTTAAGTCTATATTGGTGTGGGAGAACCTTACAGCCATGAAAATCTAAAGGGACCCTGTCCAATTCAGTAGCTAGCCATGCATGACTATTTACATTTACAGTAATTAAAAGCAAATACAATTAAAAACTTAAGGTTTCACCAGCCACATATCAAATGTGCCACGGCCACCTGGGGCCAGAAGCTGCTCTCTGTGGAGGTGTTGCCGTAAACATTCCATAGCATCATTGCTGACCCAAGGACTTGGTAAATTTTCCAAATTTTTAAAATGCTTTGACTCTTTTTAGCTCACAGACTTCCCTTCTGATCAAGTCTGTTGCTCTTTGACAATTATCTATTCTGAAAATAGTGTAAGACGAGGAAGGAAGGTAATCATCACTGAACACTTATTTTGCTATATTGTTTAATCTTCACAGAACCCGGAGAGGTAGGCGTGATTTGCCCCCATTTACAGATGAGTGGACTGAGGTGCAGAGGTGTTAAGCTGTGAGACCACCATCACCCATAGCCAGGAATGGGGACAGGCTTTGCTTGCCCAGCGTGGAGCTAGCAGCTATTCTATGTTACCCCTTCAAATGCTGCATGCAATACCCACTTTATTGCGTCAACCCATCCTCATGCTAACCTCAAGTTGAAAACTGGCATTTAAAGAAATCATTTATTCCCAAGATATGAGGGAAATGCTACTAGTATTCCACTTCTACAACAGACACTGATCGTAGCTTGTCACTTTCTTTTTTGTCTCCTGATCTCAGACCTTGCCCTGTGTGGTTTATATCTCTTTTTGATATATTGCTGTATGCCCTTCTCTTATTTCTGCATGTCACTGAAATTGCTTGCTCCGCTCAGATTTCTCATGTTGAAAGAAGTCTCTGCAGCTCTTTTCTCCTCCTGACTTTTTTTTCCCTGTGGAAATGGGGATCTGACATGCCAAGTCGGAATCCCTACTCTCTTTCTCTGGGACATTCAGCCATAAGGGCGTTGAACCCTTGACATTCAACCAAGTTTGAACCTGAGTGTGTGTGGAGGATTCCTCCTCGTCCATATAGTTATTCTATTCCATCTGAAAAATTCAAAATAAAAAGTGGAAAACAGAATTCAAAATCATCAAGTTGTGGGTGTACTACGGCTATTCCATAGCAACAATTTTCCTAGGCATACATATCATAGTTTACATCTGTGATAGAAACAGACACCTTTTAAAAAAGATTTATTTTACTTATTTGAAAGAGTTACAGAGAGAGAGGAATAGACACAGAGAGATATAGAGAGATCTTTCAATTTCTGATTTACTCTCCAAATGGCCACCACAGCTGGAGTTGAGCCAATACAAAGCCAGGAACCTAGAGCTTCTTCTGGGTCTCTGATGTGAGAAAAGCAGTAGAAGATGGTCCAACTCCTTGGGCCCCTACGCTGGAGTGGGAGACCTGGAAGAAGCTCCTGGCTTCTGGCTTTGGATAAGTCCAGCTCCAGCCATGGTGGCCGTTTGAGGAGTGAACCAGTGGATAGAAGACTTTTCTCTCTCTCTCTTCCTCTGCCCCTCTGTAACTCTGCCTTTCAAATAAATAAATAAAATCTTAAAAAATATAAGAGCCACATGATCCAGCTCAGCCTTGGCCAAACACTCATGGGTCTGGAAGTCAATATTAAATTGAAGAATAAGAGTAAAGAAGGAAAGAGAGTGAAGACAGGGCTTCTCACCAAATACCAGTGACATAAGCTAGCTCTACCTTTTTCATAGAGACTCCCTTGGGTATTACAGACCATTAGATCTCAAGTGCCCAACACCAGGTCTGAAACATATGAGTACTCAGTACTTTCCTATTGAATAAATGAATAAATAAATAAATAAAGCATGATTATTTTATACTTTCCCCATATGATCTTCTGAACAAGGAGACATTTGGCTCATTCAAGACCAAAGCACACGGATCGTCTCAAAGTTGGCTTAGTACAAGGCCTTAGGGAAGGAGAAGGATGCAAGGAACTTAACAAAGCACTGAAAAAAAATTCCTTGTGTTTCCAAATGATGCAGAGGTCACAAGGTGGTGATTAGTTGGATTCACTAGGTGGAAGATTAGAACAGAAAAGGGAATTGAAGGTTTTAGGATTGCTTGAAAAAGTTGCTGTTAGCCCATATGTATAGGAATCTTCAGGATTTAAAAAAAGAGATCAGTGACTGGGTTCACCCAGACCACTGGATTCAGAATTCACAGAGGTAGGTCCAGCAAGGGTGGACAAAGCTCTTACAGGGAGAAGATTTTGCTGGGGAGAAGCCATGGCCACACCTGACCAGGTAAGTTCTCTGGGGTTTGAAGCAGTGGTCATGGTCATTCAGCACAGCACACCTGAGGGGAAGAAGCCATTTTGGAATGTACAGACTCTTTAGCCTTGTCTTTCCCCTATCCTCACCATCCCTTCTTTAGCCAGAGAGTAAGATGTGGACACACAACAGTTCCAGCAATGCTGTAAGAGCAGGGGTCGTGGAATTGGGAGGAAGTGCCAGGGGTTGGTGTCATGTGTGATCCTGTCATGTCTCCAGCTGGAGCCTTCAAAGCCCTGCCAAGCAGAAATGAGCGTGCTTGGGCTTTTCCCTAAGAGGCATGGCGACAACTTGTTCCCCAGGCTCTTGTGATTCTGTGGCATTTGGTGGAGTTTCTAGGAATTAAAAAGTAACTGCCCTCACATTCTCTTTTTCTGGCTTTCCCCTCTTGATGAAGCTAAGCATTCATATAGTTCCTGAACCTCCACCAGTGCTGGCTATTTTCACCTCTTGTAGGGTGGGGAGATGGACAAGGATTTTCATTTCCAAGTGAATTGATTTACATATTGTTCCTTATTGGGCTCTTATAGTAGACTGGGCAGTGGGTCTATAATGGTGAATAACACCATGTTCCTTCTGTGAGAAGACCATGACAGGGGAACAAGTTGAATCAATAAACAGAGTTGGAACCCAACCTGCTATGTGAACAGAAGTTAGCATGGGTGGAGAGGACGTAACTCCATGAGCACTGGAACACTTCTCAGAGGAAGTGGTCCTAGAGATGAATCTCTACAGATTAATAGAAAGTGGCAAAGGGTATGCCAGCTCCACTTGTATGTGATGCAGCTGTTGGGTTGCCAGACAAAGGAATCAGGGAGGTCAGACAGGGCTGGGCCTTTCAGATTTTCTTGTAAGAAGTGTCTACATCCAGACTATTCTGGGACTCTCAAGACATTACAGTCTAGCAGAAGATGGGCAATTCTTTTCTTTCCTAAAAGCGTATTGAAAGAGTCTCAATCTCAAGGGCCAGTTAAGAAATGTATAGGAGAAGGAACATATAGCTGCCATAATTATTACCTTCCTAAGCTGACTTTCAGCTGGTGGGGGTGTAACACCAACTTTTAGTGGAGGAGTTTTTATTCTAGATCTGGAAACTGCTGCATGCTGGCCCCTGGCATTTGCCTGTAAAATTTCAATGGTTTCGCTTACCTCTACTCATTGCCCCATGCCAACTGGGCTGATCATTCTTTCCAGTAATTGGGTGTCTGCTGAAGACGGTTCCAAGGCCTCTTTGCTCAAACTATCTATTTTGTAAAATTACAAAAACTTCTTTCCTACACTATTTCTTTTCTCTCCCTGTTTAAGCTCCAAGTTTAGATTCTTCTTTGGAGCAAGCTATGTTCCTCCCCCTTTCCAAACACTATGGAGAGTATTTTGGTTGTGAAAAAGGAAAGAAAATATCTTAATCTAGGATGGAGAGTCAAGTATATGTAGACATATATACACAGAGATGATGAGAAGCTAAGCAGCTTGTGTAAGGGTGTCAAAGGCTGTCTTTGTAGGTAGAGTTTCATTTTCAGATTAAATTACTTGTAGAAAACCAATTGCTTCTTTCTGGACTTGAAAAAGTAGAGACCTGTTCAAGGGCAGTAAACTATTTGCAGAAATGGAGGCAGATGAGGCCCGCACTGTGGCGTAGCAGGTAAGCTGCCGCCTGCAGTGCCGGCATCCCATATGGGCACCAGTTCAAGTCCCAGCTGTTCCACTTCCTATCCAGCTCTCTGCTATGGCCTGGGAAATCAGTAGAAGATGGCCCAAGTCCTTGGGCTCCTGTACCCACATGGGAGACCCAGAAGAAGCTCCTGGCTCTTTGCTTTGGATTGGCGCAGCTATGACCGTTGCGGCCCACTAGGGAGTGAACCAGCAGATGGAAGACCTCTCTCTCTGCCTC